GTGCATATGTGTGTAATAATTCAGATCACCGGAAGCATTTTCTTACTTTGCAAATTTGCAAATTGTGTAAATGAGTAATGAAACAACAGCCATCGAGTTGCAGAAGTAAATGTGTCATCGCATAGGGGAGCTGGCCCATTTGGCAATTACTCTAAACACAGACATTGGCAAAGATCCCCCATATAGCCTTTAACAGACTGTTGAGCAAGTACTGTGAGCGAGCACCTATAAAAGCCGGCACAGTGCACGAGGAGGTGTGTGACCAGCACCAAGCCCGACCATCTTTGTCTCCTTCGTGCTGGTGTTTACACACCACACCAGATACTCATTTGAGGCTGAGTCGACCTATGGGAGACCCTGGACCGGTTCACATAATTGCCACTGGTGTTGGTGGCCGTGAGCAGGTTCGTAGCGCAGTGCACTAACCACTGCACCACCACTCCCCACCACACTCACAAAGATTAAGATCCCGATGTGTAAACATACACAGACTAATTTCATACACAGGCTTTCACAACCAATATGATTTATAATTCGTTTATTTTGGGTTAGGTCATGTACCTCCGATTAGCACGGTTGGTGACATACAGTGAGGGAAAAAAGTATTTGATCCCCTGCTGATTTTGTACGTTTGCCCACTGAAAAAGAAATTATTAGTCTATAATTTTAATGATAGGTTTATTTGAACAGTGAAAGACAGAATAACAACAACAAAATCCAGAAAAACGCATATCAATAGTGTTATAAACTGATTTGCATTTTAATGAGGGAAATAAGTATTTGACCCCTCTGCAAAACATGACTTAGTACTTGCTGGCAAAACCCTTGTTGGCAATCAAAGAGGTCAGACGTTTCTTGTAGTTGGCCACCAGGTTTGCACACATCTGAGGAGGGATTTTGTCCCACTCCTCTTTGCAGATCTTCTCCAAGTCATTAAGGTTTCGAGGCTGACGTTTGGCAACTCGAACCTTCAGCTCCCTCCACAGATTTTCTATGGGATTAAGGTCTGGTGACTGGCTAGGCTCCTCCAGGACCTTAATGTGCTTCTTCTTGAGCCACTCCTTTGTTGCCTTTGCCGTGTGTTTTTGGTCATTGTCATACTGGAATACCCATCCACGACCCATTTTCAATGCCCTGGCTGAGGGAAGGAGGTTCTCACCCAAGATTTGACGGTACATCGTCCCTTTGATGCGGTGAAGTTGTCCTGTCCCCTTAGCAGAAAAACACCCCGCAAGCATAATGTTTCCACCTCATGTTTGACGGTGGGGATGGTGTACTTGGGGTCATAGGCAGCATTCCTCCTCCAAACACGGCGAGTTGAGTTGATGCCAAAGAGCTCCATTTTGGTCTCATCCAGTTGTCCTCTGAATCATTCAGATGTTAATTGGCAAACTTCAGACGGGCATGTATATGTGCTTTCTTGAGCAGGGGGACCTTGCGGGCGCTGCAGGATTTCAGTCCTTCACGGCGTAGTGTGTTACCAATTGTTTTCTTGGTGACTATGGTCCCAGCTGCCTTGAGATCATTGACAAGATCCTCCCGTGTAGTTCTGGGCTGATTCCTCACCGTTCTCATAATCATTGCAACTCCACGAGGTGAGATCTTGCATGGAGCCCCAGGCCGAGGGAGATTGACAGTTCTTTTGTGTTTCTTACATTTGCGAATAATCGCACCAACTATTGTCACCTCACCAAGCTGCTTGGCAATGGTCTTGTAGCCCATTCCAGCCTTGTGTAGGTCTACAATCTTGTCCCTGACATCCTTGGAGAGGATGTCAGAGGATGTCAGGGACACCTGGGAGCCAGAAATCTTTCTGATTGAGAGGGGGTGAAATACTTATTTCCCTCATTAAAATGCAAATCAATTTATAACATTTTTGACATGCGTTTTTCTGGATATTTTTGTTGTTATTCTGTCTCTCACTGTTCAAATAAACCTACCATTAAAATTATAGACTGATCATTTCTTTGTCAGTGGGCAAACGTACAAAATCAGCAGGGGATCAAATACTTTTTCCCCTCACTGTAACGTGTGAAAAAAGTTGAATATCCCTAGTGCAGATTTTTCCACACCGCACCTGGTACTTATTGAAGGCTCAATCGACATAGGAGAGGCCCTAGACCGGTTCTAATTTTCACCACTGTTGGACATGGCACAGAATCGAAATTGAGGTACGAGGTTCATAGAGCATTGGGCTAACAACTACGCTGTCCCTTCACCTGATAAATACACGTACCCACACAATCACACGCATTCGCCCGTGCATATATATATTCACCAACTTTTTTGCAAAGACACGAGGAAGCATTTACTGCCTCCATTAAGGGCAATATCACCTCAGGCCTAAACACAGATGTCACCTCCTGCTGCTGCTGCGCCGCTCTGCAAAGCAAAAAGGGGCTAGAGACTGCCAGAGCTGAAATCTACTCCTGGGGGACAGAGAAGAGTGCAGCAATCTGTACTTGCACGCGTACATCTGGCGCCTTGCCCACGGGGAGAGTATCAAGCACACCGACTCGAATGTGTTTGTATGTCTGTGTGTATAGAAGACAAATAGACAGCGATACACCATTTAGCCCCATAGGCTGTCGGGCCAATTGCTGTTAGTGGGTATATATTAAGGTCAGCATGATACACGAGGGGCTGTGATTTGGGGGCGGAGGGGGGGGGTGATAGGGCATCGCCCTTTGTGGCATGATACATAAGGGGCCGTGATTTGGGGGACGGAGGGGGGGGGTGATAGGGCATCGCCCTTTGTGGCATTTCTCTCCATAGTGCGAAAGGTTGACCATACCATACGACCAGGAACGCAGTTGAGGCTGAGTAAGCCTAGGAGAGGACTCGACTATGTTCATTTACCAAATTCCAAATGTCACTGGTATAGATAGCCAAGATGAAAACCTCGCTCGTTAGAATTGCACTGTATTGTATTGCGTTAAGACGTGTGTGTATTTATATTTGTTATTCTGTATACATATATGCATTTACATATCACCGTACTGTTGTTGCTTGGCATTTGCAGGTTGCGTTGTGGCCGAAACGTCGTGAGAATTTTATTGTGTTATTTTATTGTTTTATTCTCATTCTACGTGACTTTACCGAAAGAACCAAAGAAGGTTTAATAAACATGTTTAAAAAAAAGTTATTCATAGAGTCTATATTTCAGCTATCTGGTTATATTCAAGAAACGTATTTGTCAAATGATATATAGAATATTTCTCTCTCATTACAAATGATAATGCATGTCTAAATAGAATGTGTAACTTCTACAGATAATAACATTAAGTAATAATATTTCAGTCTTCCAAGACAAAAAAAATGTCATTTGAGAACTTATCAAATGGCTACAAGTGTTGCATTGTACGAGTGTGTTGTGAATTTGCTGTTCATTACTAGTGAGAGATCGTGTTATGTAACGTCAGTCAATATATGTTTTGAATATGATTAGATGCACACAGCCTCTGTCCACCTAGCCACGGTGGCGAGATGTTGACTACCTCGCCTGGTATGCAGGAGGTAGATTTGGAGTTTGTTTCGTTCTCCCCGTGGTCGCGTGGATCTTTCTCCAGGTCCTCCGGTTTTTATTCCTCCACATTTATAAACATGCCTTTAGAGTATTTGCCTGCTATACATTTCCACATGTAAAGCCACTCCGTTGAGCTATCATTTGTGGCCAGGTTGCTTATGAAACATAGCTACATAGCTCAGTGGGCCTTACCTGGTAAACATAGCTTAGTTTAGTATAATTGGGTATAACACAGTTAGTGTACCGGCAGCTCACGTGAGGTGGGGTAAAGTGTGGGTATTCCTTTCTCTTTAAGACGTCTAAGCAGCGTGAATGGGTAGGTCAAATACCCTCTCGAGTACCCTCTGGTGGAGACCTTTTCCAGCAGCAGTGGCTTCTCCTAGCTAAACCTGAATGTCGAGGTCCGTGAGCCACCTAATGGTTTTGGATGATGGTGCCGTTGGTACACTTGAGGTACCCTGTGAAGTATCGCTCTGGGCAAGAGTTGATCATCTGTTCCGTTGTTTGGTCACTATCTCCACAGTCACATTGTGGACTATCAAACGGTGGCATGGATTAGTAACTTCACGCCTACACATTTAAATGTTTTATGTTAATATTGACTATTGTGAATATTGTCATTCATTCAATTCTCGGTTATGGCAATCTGTTCAAGAGTTACATGCCAATGTCAAGGGCTGCTAACCACTAGAGGGCTTCAGGAAAGGGTTCATGTAGTCTTACTACTCCTCCATTAAAGGAGAGCAGGCTACAGTGCTTTACTCTCTGGTCCATAGTTTGGGATGCTTGGATACCATTGTGCTTTTGGATGTATTGATTTTTTCACATTTGGAGAAGTGGGGGAGATGTGTACATTTAATAAAATCCATTTATTGCATAACTCACCAAATCGTTGTCATTGAATCCATGTATTGCATGCAGTATTGTGTGAGTTAGTGCATAAGCATTGTTAGTAAGTGTGGTGTGCGTTGTGGCCGGTTAGTATCGGTGTGCGTGTTGTGTGTTGTAAACGAAGGAGTGTGTTGTGCATTACAGCATTAGTGGGGTTGACATCCAGAGGAGACTTTCAGCAAGAAGATTAGCCACTGGGAAAAAATGAGCTTTGGGGTTTTAGTGCAACATTATGCTATCTCAGGCTCGCACATGACACTGTTGTGTTCCCAAGTTGCGAATGTCAAAGAATGTTTTCATGTCCGTGTTTAAATGTCAATGTTACACCTCTCTTGGGGTTGGATTGTTTATTCATTTATCAGAGCCTTTAGCAATAGCACAAAATGGTTGCCACTTTAACCGCTGAAATAAACAATTTATAATTCTGTAATGACAAAGTGGGACATTTTTTAATGGGTTGCATGTGTTCACGTTTTGAAAATTAATTGGTCTATTGTTTTTGGTTGCCGTCCATATATACATATGCTGCTTGAATATGTCGCACAGTTCATTTGAATAGTTAGACTACCAATTATGTACGCTGATGCAAAATATGCAAGGAATATTTAATAATCGAGGCACAGAATTTGTCCAGTTATATACTGCAGCAGAAATTGAGCAGTTTTCGTCCCTAATCTGCTTTGTCAGCTTTCGTTACATCCCATGGTTCAACTTACACGCGGAAAGAAATTGTCTTTTCTTTCTCTTATTATTATCTCACTTTGCTCGGTGTATTTGAACAAAAACATATCTGGAAGTTTGTTGAAGTTACTCTTTAAAGCTTGCGCTGATAAATTGGCAGTGCTGTCATAAAATGCAGCGACTACTTCTATAATTGCTTTCGACCTTCTTCCTTAATGCATCTGCAGTTGAACATGACTATTACTCCGGTAAGATTGCACTTAGAGAAGTTTAATATGTTACATTAAAAAGATCCATACTTCGCTGGGCATAACCAGAATACTTTTCTCAGCTAATCTATTATATGGCACCAAAGCCTCTAGAAATTCTAGAGATAAACTATGCATAACATCCACCGATTTTAGACGTACATATCCAATCTATGGGTTTTTGTTCAGTGAGTAAATGCGTTATATATAATCCATGATTTTTCTGCATTTCGGAGACAAATCCGCGCGTAGTTTGACATGATGCCTCGAAGTCAAATGGTAAAAGCTGCCTTTGCCAGAAAGCCAGATATTTGTCATCTTATAAAACCCAACTTACCACGTAAAGCATGACATGCAGCCTTTTACATGGTTTTTTTCACCATTTTACCCGAAAGAAGCATATTTATTTTTAATGACATTTTTACAAGAACTGCCGAGGACCATGTATTTTGTCTGGAATTACTATGGATTTAGAATGTTATAAAAAAATGAGAAAACCACAGAGAGTGTGTGTGACTTTATCATAATGTAGAAAACAAAAAAATCTGCATAAAGAATGTTGAAACCACGTGCACACCAGATTTATTTTCATTATATTTAAATTACAAAAATGTAGTGAATGTTGTGTAACTGTGTACAAATCCCCTATAAATGCGCAGTAGTACTTAAGACATCTGGGCATTGTGCTTTTAAATAAAAAATGCACATGTCCCCCCCCCCGCCCTCCAGTGTTAGTGGCAGCACGAGTGCACGGGATGAAAGAACCTGGGGACAGGAGGCTTCAGTGGGCATGACGGGAAGGGGATGACACGGGGATGACTACCACGGAAGCCTGCGGAAAGATGACGCTGGGCGTCCGTACCCACGCCCTTGCCCCTTGACTGGCGCAGCTGTCATCTCATCAACAGTATCCTTTCCACCCCAACCTTCATACCCCCCCCCCCCGCACTATAAACTGGGGCACGAGGTGCGGATGGCGTGAAAAGTTGTTGGTGTTTGGGGAGAATGAAGTGGTGGGGAACAAAGGAATGGGGCTTATGATGTCATGGGGAATAAGCTGCTCTTTCCAGCATCCATCTCCATCTCTCACCAATTCTTCTATCGCTCTTGTTGGCCACATTCCCGGCGTATTGATTCCCCGCACCACTGATACGGCACGCTCTGTATACCGGAAAGGACACAAGCAGTTCAACAGAATTTACTCAGATTTCATTGTATGCATGCATTTTAATGGTCCTTATTAAATGTTTATTAAAATCTCTGGGTATTTGTATTTGTCTCACCTCTTCCACGTAACATAAACCCTGTGCTTTTGATTATTTCCCAATTCCTGGTCTATTCACAGTTTGTATTCATTTTCCCCCATTAAATTATCGTTTGGCACTGTTACTGAAATTATCATGTATATGGGTGAATTTAAATGGGTGCAACTACTATAATTAATATCGCAATAATTATCACACAATAATAAAACAGTAACGTTTCTTAAGTGTTAACAATTATATTTCCATGACCAGAAGCACCTGACTGCATTTACATAAATGGAATACAAAAATATAATTCCATTATTTTAAATGGTATTCGATAATAATAATCACATTATGAAATCCCCTTAATGAAAATGGTATTCCATACTAATGGTACCATGGAATACCATTTTCAATGATTCGTATTGAATACGATTACCGGTATTTAAAATTGAATTCCATGATAATAATATGGTGTAATACCATTACAGTATTGATGACTGTATTCCACAATCGTAGGCAGTCCGCATACATCCTTTTATCAGATTATGTTGTCACATGCAAAATGTGGCTAGCAAAAGATGCTTAAATTATACATGTGATTTTGACACAACAACAATTCAATGCCATGAATATCTGCCCTTTGCCATCGCACCACTGCAGGTGTCCTGTTTATGTGTGCAGCAGTGATGCTGTGCTCAGCTGGAGCCAAATTCGGCCCCCCCCCCCCCTCTTGTCGTCCCTTCCCCCGAGCTCCTGTGCCTAGGGAAAGGAGAATGTTGACATGTCTGAGCCCACAGGCAACGCATCTGTTCCCAGATCCCCACCCATCCCGGATGCCACAACATAACCCACTCTTGAGTGCCCCTGTACCCACTCAATTTACCCCTTTCAACTTCCCTCCCCTATCCATTCCATCTGCTGCAATCCGTGCATCTATTTTCCTCTAAAAATGTTGTTTTGTGTCCGAGAATAGATGAGAGCTTGGCTCACCACCGTGACGAGATGTTAACTACTTCGCCTGATATACAGGAGGTCATGCGATCCCAACTCTGACGCCTATATATTCGGAGTTTGAATGCCTCTCTCCCCGTGGTCGCGTGAATTTTTCTCCGGGTCCTCAAGTGTTATTTCGTCTGCATTTAGAATCAACATCACGCGTTTAGAGTATTTCGCTGCAGTAAAGTTGCAAATGATAAACCACTTCGTTGAGCTGCAATTTGTGGCCAGGTCGCTTCCGAAAAATAACTACATAGCTCAGTGGGGTTTACCTGGTCAAATATATTTTAAAATAGTTTTAAATGTTGCTTTCTGTCATCGGAAAGATGAGCTTGGATTCTGTGGTAATGCGATGAAAACTGTTTTTCTTTTTTCAGCCAGTGACTATCAGTTCAATTGCTCTTCTTGTCGTAAACCCCTTTGAGGTCTACACAACGGTCAAACATCGGCAATTTAGAAATAATCGTAAAAGACACCCAAACACATCCCATTTCCCCTTTTATCATTGAAAAATAGAAACGATTGGTGGTACAGTGTGACTTTAGAGGGAGATTAAAACTACCGTGACACTCTAAATTTAGATGCTTATTAAACAACGACCTTCACATACTCTCTGGCAATGCGATGGAAATGTATATTCCCTCACCTGCCATTTGAGTAAAGATTTAAATTAATGTCGAATTTGAGTCTGAGGGAGATTTAATAATATCAGCGGTGTAAGGGCAAGCTTGGGATTTTTATGAGTAATCAGATATGAAATTGCTATGAAAAGCAAACAACGCATTTTGAAATGATGACCCAAGAGCCACAAACTTGTGAGTTTGAGTTGATTGCTTTCACGAACGTGAAATAAACCGCCATCGTGTAAGACCTGTTACATTTTAGCCCGGCCTCTTGATTTTCACTCTCAAAATCATAGAGCAAAATAGCCGGTCACAATATTAATCACCACCCGTGAATGCAATGGGATACATTTCAGCGTTCGAAGGCTACACGAGCAGACCCTGCAATGTATTGCTTCAACCACTGCTGGCGGAAAGGTCTCCACTGGAAGGGGCTCTGGGAAGAAAATAACCCTTCCAGAGGGTATTTGGCCTACTCTTCCACACTGGCCAGACGTCTCGGAAGAGGTGGGAGTAGCCACACTTTGCTCCGCCACTATACGCAACCTGTCGATCAACTCACTGCGGTGTAGTCACTTGTTGTTCTGAGCCGACGGTGCAACCTCCAATTTCCCACGGCAGCGAGTAGTTCATCCCAGGCAGTCGTGGTTGATGCTTTGTATATTAATGTTCGTCACGTGCAAAGATCACCACAAGCACAAAATAGACATGTGAGCAAATGCATTAAAAAAACTAAAATAACAACAACATAAATGACTTTGAAATTTTGATTTAAAGCTTTAGTGACTGCAGGGATTCATATTCTTGGTTCTTTCGGTAAAGTCACGTAGAAGGGAAACAATAAAATAATAAAAATATAAAACAATAAAATTCTCACGACGCTTCGACCACAACACAAGCAATCATCATCAGTTGTGAAAACCACAGCAATACATTTTATAAAAAAGTGGCGTTTTTTTACGTTCAATATATTGCCTATGCAAATATGCCTTGGGGTGAGTGATTTGCAATGGTGGTTGTTGTATATGCTGAACACGAATATAGCCGTTTTGAGAAAGGATATTTTAGTGCGATCGCATCATATGATTGGAAGGTCAAACGGATGACCTTGGGGCGTTTAGGTAACAGTACAACATTGCAGTTGTTTGCTCACTGCTTTGCTGGTGTAAAATCCTTCGCTCGAACGAGATTTAAATAGCTCCTCTACAGCGTATTTGGCCTACTCTTCCACTCACACGTTACATCACCACACACTCAGTGCGGTGCATCCATTTATGCTTGCTGAGTGGACAGAGGTGGGGAGGATTTAAGAGACTTTACCCCCATTGTTTCAACTTCCACGGCAAGAGATTGAGCCAGCAAACTCAGTGTGATAACCATTGCAGTGCCAGCACCCTACATTTTAGAATGCTCCTGCACAGATATTACATTTTATATCTGGAAACTCAATGCAACTATAATGTTATAAATTACTTTTTAATTGAACTACATTTATTTAATGGCTAAATATAATAATTCAAATATATACTGCGCAATCCATCCTAGGATCCCAATGCACAAATATCACATTGTTTGTGCCATTTTTCAAAGTGCCACTTTTTAAATATTAAAACACTACCATGGGGAAGGGGATTACACAGATAAATAAGAGAAATTACACATTACTGCAGAAAGGGAAATATCACCTTTCTAATCATGCATTCTCACGCGTGTGGTTTCAGTTTCACAAGTGTTTTCGCTCTGCATGCAGACTGTGCAGCAAGTTATTGCGAGAATTCAAATAGCAATTTCTCCAACAATTCAACCCACGCAGAGACCCCATCTCTCTCGCTGTATGTCTCTCGCTGCCTACCCTTGTCTGTGTACACAAAGCCAACAGGAACAATGAAAGTCCCCTACCTTGACAGGCCCACCTGTGCCCTGACTATGACAAACCTTAGGAGACCATAGGCTCTGGGCCAGAGAGCTTTTCATTAGTGCGCGCAGCGCTGCCAAGACACACCATCAATATCTCTCAATGTGGATGTGCAAGGCACCGCACGCTGGAATGACGCATTGTCATATTGGCCAGTTTGGCCTCAGTACTGAGTCTGCCGTCACTTCCCACATGACATCACAAGATTTTTTTTTACTGCAGAAAATAAAACTCCATGTAAAGTGAAGTAGTGAAACTGTCAAATCCTGTTGAATTAGACCGACACTATTACGTAGGAACACAGCTGCGGAAACTGGGATTGCATTTGAATGCACATTTAACGCTACATTTGTGGATGTGACAGCTGTAAGTAAAATTATTGTCATGTCAAATATTACTTGTTTAATTCTATATTTATTTGTCAACATTTGCATTTTTCCCAACCTTTATCCGGTGCATTTGCCGCCATTAATCCACAGTCGATATATTCCCTGGGCCTGTTTATGCAATTTTACGTTGAGTTATATTTTTAGAATGTGCTTACGGAGTTAATCACTCTGCTATAGGTTCTGCAGTGCACTTAGCTGGAAAATTTAATCTCCTGGCAAGTGCATTTCAAGCAGGTACCAATGCATGGCCTTGTAGGACAAACACCTCACTGGCAGGTTTGCAGGAATGGTAAAGTTTGCGTCCACCTGCCAATGCTATAAAAACACAGCTGAATAGTAAACATCACGCCGACCCATTGAAACATGTAACTGCCCTAGGTCACCTCCACTAATTGGCTTGGGATGCAAAGTGCAAGCGGTGTTGTCTACAATCAAATTAAGAGCGGGCGGGGAAATCACTCTTTGTCAACACATTAATTTCTGTTCAGGTATACTCATTATAAAATGCATTTTTCATGAAGAAAAGCTCTCATTACATAATGTAATCTACATAGCCTTAAGTGAATTACTTTTGAAAAATGGTGCCCGCTTAATCTTCACTTCTCGTGCCAAGTGATCCACGTGTGGATGTTAATAACCCAGCCAAACCGTGCAAATCAAGCAAGTTTTTTTTTCTAATCTTTTTTTTGGTGTGTGCAGGTATCCACTACGTCTGCATTTGTGATTTAAAGTCAGTGTGGAAGATAATTGTCATTAACCTTTCAATCTCATACTTCTTATGTCTAGCAACTCAACGCAAAAGTCAATAACCCTTCTTCATAGTGTTATGAAGAAGGGCCATTGGCCAACATGTCAACTTATATATATATACGTCCTCTGTAGAGCAGTGCTATTGAGCAATACGTTGAGTAAAATTCTTTCTAGGTGACTTTACCGAAAGAACCATAGATAAATACGTTGAGTATTTAGTTATTTTTATTCATACACCACTACCGATGCAGTATCACTTTTAAAACAATATAGATGTCATGGGGTTATTTCAGCTTGCAAGGTGATTTAAATGGTAGTACCCCTACAGTGGCGACTGTGTGGATAGGAACAAGGCTTCAGGGTGTGGCTGTGAAGTGAGCATGTTCCTCACGCTATGGCGATGCAGTGTACTGTAAGTTGCGCTGACAAACAAGCAGATTATGAGGACACCGGCAGAATCTGTTTTGGCAGCGAATTAAGGACGGGATGAGTGAGAACGGGGTACACGCATGTAGATAAGCTGTCACAGCAGAGCAGCTTTCTGTGCTTATTTGCTTGTGATCACATTGGATATCGTTGTGACCCTTCATGCGTGTAACGTATCATGCCACGTTCTCTCTGGCACTTGGCGTGGATTGACAATTCGAGGTGAGCGCGTGCCTGTGGACGTGTGTACAAACTAAACGCGCTCAGCCCGTACCATAAGACGGAGTGGAATGGTGTATAATGCCCCGTTATTAGATTATCACTGTCGATTTGCAACATTAGACTTCAGACGTGATTAGCGTGCCCAGTCGTTTCTATGGGTCCAAACAGATGGCGAGGGATAATTACGTACTTCAGACTGGCCCTTTGCAGAAGGAAAACCGGATGGCTTTACCAGTTCTACAGGGCGATGCTCATTCTGAAGAGCTTACGGTGCAACCGCACAGAATTACCTTTTTTTTTCACCGTCCATGTGTATATATCTATATAGTTATAGGCATGGGTTAATCGTGAATGCATGAGCCACTGGGGACCTCGAATACTGCCACGCAAGCAATGGAAAAGTGACTCGCCTGGTTAATAGACAGTCACGAACAGGTCATGCCGGTCAAGATGTCAAGTGCACATTTTATTAGCCAGATCGGATTATGGGTCATCTATTTATAACCAAGACTGTCTGAGTACCTGAATGCATTTTTTTTGTCAAACACGTCGCTTGTATTTTACGTGCTTTTGAGATTTTTTTTATCCAAACAGACATTTATCGAAATTTTAAACAGGCTATGCGCCTACAATAAAATGACTAATGCGAAGACCACGCAAAAAAAAATATTTTTGCTTGTATAGCAAAAATCACGTTCCTCTTTCCACATTATTTGTTAAGACAATTATTTATTTCAGCAAATGCGGAGCGTTGAACGCGGTGCGACGAAGCGGAGTTGATCAATGCGCTCGGTTAAGAATCGCTATAATTCAGCGTTTTCAGTGGGCGCAACAATGGAACTCTCCATGAGGCTATATTATGACAGCAGGTTTTTCCCCGTGTTCGCCGTCATTAGTGGTGGGGTTGCGGACGCGTATCGTGTTAATTGACGAAAGAGACTCGAGGGCGTGATCCCTCCGTCTCTCCACGCCTCCGGAAAGCGACCTGGGCAGCCGCAGCTGTCGCACGTTAACACAGTGGGGGGCCCCTGGGCTGTAGGCGGTGTATGGAGTGGGGGGGTTAGGGGGCAGGGGGGGGCGGGCAACTCGTGCACTTCAGTGTGCAGGGACTTGAGCAAAATATCGCTGCCACCAAACTCTGTGGCTTTCCATTTTCTCTCGTCGAGTGCGCGCCATCCCCACCCCCCCCCCAGCCGCCAACAGCACGACGGTGATTTGGTGCACACAGTGGCGCTGGGAGCGTGTAGATTGGGGCCCGAGCGGTGGCTCCGCGCGTGGATGATGTGGAATTAAATTACCGATGTGTCCCATGTGCGAGCCCGACCCAAGTGGCCACTCCGGCGGTGTCAAAACGCCGCACTGGGTGGGGAGACAACAACGACAACAACAACAAAAAAAATCACGTGACGTATGGATTATTTTTGGTTGGTTTGTTTACGGTGTGTGCGTGCACACAAAATGATAATGCCCTGGCTTTAATTATCAATTGAGTGACCGTTGTTGGAAGTGCTGCCGGAAGTCCGTTAATCACGAGCATGCTTGCCTGAGCCTTCACAATCTCCAATATGAGATGCTCAGACGTTAATTAATATATAACCTTCAGGAATAATTACATAGGACCCAGGCAGTTGAAAGCTCTGCTAAATGCTTGGGGATTATGGTACTGTAGGGCATTATTAAAGGTAAAGGGAGGCAGTGTTGTCATGGATTAAAATAAAGGTCTTACCATATTAATATCCCCTCTCATATGCAGTGTTATGTACGTTGAGCTTATTTTGCAGCGTACGTAGCCAACCGTTACAAGCCTCGTCTACACATTGTTAAAAAATAAGGTGCTTCCAAATCTGGTCCAGCCTAATTTTGAAAGGCGGAAGGGGCTTTGCATTACTGCTATAATGAGCAAAGAATGTCTATTCAATGGGTCTTTCGGTAAAGCCACGTAGATAGGTTCAAAGAAAATAACAAGAAATAACAAAAAAAACTACGACGTTTCGATCGCAACACAAGCGTTCGTCATCAGGAAATAAAAAGAGGGGGAAAGCTGCTGAGGCAGACTGGGTGATAAACAAAGTGGGCGGGGCTAGTGATGTTAATGTGAGAAATTAGCATGTTAATGGGAGAGATTAGCATGTTAATGTAGGATCGGAGGGCGACGTACACAACGAGCGCGCGGAGGTGCCTATGTAAATGTGAGAGATTAGCATGTCAATGTGAGAGATTATCATGTTAATGTGAGAGATTAGCATGTTAATGGGAGATCGCAGAGCAGCAACATCGAGATCAGTGAGCGAGGTGGCTGTGTTAGGGTGAGAAATTTAACCTGTTAATGTAAAATCAGAGAGCCGAAAATAACAACTAACATTGGAAGGTGGTAGGATGGGAACAGCACAGCCAGTTATGACTTAAACTGGTTGATAACGTCCTTCCAATGATTACTCAGTTTATACCCATCTTCTCGATTGAAGTTGTGTCTGTATATGTGGATGGCTTCATGAACGAATCTTTGTTGATAGCCAGTGGGTTTGCATAGTACCTTCGTCTTAGAGAAATCTATTTCGTGTGAGCCCACCACATTAAAACAATGATCAGCCACGGCCGAGGTATTGGTCCTACCGTGTTTCAGATCTGCCTTATGTTCATGAACACGGTCCGAGACATGTCGCTTAGTTTACCGAATGTAACTACTGCCGCAGACACAGCTTAGTTTGTAGACGCCTGCATGTCAGGGATCACATCCTTCACAAATGGAATCAGATCACGAATTTTACGTAATGTGTTAAATCGAACCTGGATCTTGTGTTTTCTCATGATTTTGGAGATATTTTTGGTGACCCCAGCTATGTATGGCAAGGTGATGGTTTTGATTGGGTCCTCAGATGGTTCTTTCCCAACGGTTGGGGTGATAGCTTTACGGATTCTGTAGTCTGAATTTCCATTCATCTTGAGAGCTTGGTGTATGTGTCAGCTCACTGGCTCGGTGATGAAGGACATTATCAATCAGTTTAAGTCATAACTGGCTGTGATGTTCCCATCCTACCCCCTTCCGATGTTAATTGTTATTTTCGGCTCTCTGATTTTACATTAACAGGGAAAACTTCTCACCCTAACACAGCAACCTCGCTCACTGAGCTCGACGTTGCTGCTCTGCAATATCCCATTATCATGCTAATCTCTCACATTAACATGATAATCTCTCCCATTAACATAGCCACCTCCGTGCCCTCATCGTGGAGGCCGCCCTCCGATCTTACATTAACATGCTAATCTCTCACATTAACATGATAATCTCTCCCATTAACATAGCCACCTCCACGCCCTCGTCGTGGAGGCCGCCCTCCGATCTTACATTAACATGCTAATCTCTCACATTAACATAGCCACCTCCACGCCCTCGTCGTGGAGGCTGCTCTCCGATCATACATTAACATGCTAATTGATCACATTAACATCACTAGCCCCGCCCACTTCATTTATGACCCTTGGGCTACACCCATTTTAAACCTTTAAAACAGTCTGCCTCAGCAGCTTTCCCCCTCTTTTTTTTCCTGATGACGAACGCTCGTGTTGCGATCGAAACGTCGTAGTTTTTTGTTTTTTTTGTTATTTTCTTTGAACCTATCTACGTGAGTTTACCGAAAGACCCAAAGAATATGAATTCCTGCAGTTACAAAAATGCGATCACCGGGATAGAGTGAGGTGAGAACTAAATGCAACATTTTAGGCAGTGGTGAAATTTTTTTGACAATGATCCATCATCATTCTTGATAGTTTTACCGATTATGCAAGAATGTCTGTTTGTGGGTAACGTGCGTGACGTCACTCCACATGCCCCCCCTCCCCCGTCATGAATATTCATGAGCGGGTGGATTTTTACCCTCACGCCGAAGAAGGTTGAGCGGAAATATTTTTTTCCGCAAATTCGCTTTAAGTTTCACGTTTCTTTATTGAAAGTTAATCTAATAAATAATTCTACGCAGCAACAACGTGGATTTCGCGTCTTTATTTAATTCTTCAGCACTTGAAACAAAAGGAAAGTCTAATTTATGCTTCTACATTATGGTAAAATATACATTTCTCGATGATTTTTCAGATATTGTATCGATTTCTAATTTATTTCAACCCCAGCGACCGAAAGCAGAAGAGAATAAAGTATCAGAGCAGTGAATTTGAACAAATTGAAGGTCAGTTATTATCAGTGCTACAGTGAAATGCAGTGAAGTGTTTGATGACTTCGTTTAGTGCCAGATTCACTGCCATTAATACAGTGCTACAGTGAAATGCAGTGAAGCGTTTGATGACATACTTTCGTGCAAGATTCACTGCCATTAAAATTACACGAGATACAATGATACTCTGCTCATTTTTTTTGTAAATATTTCAGCTTCCTTCCAAGGATGGGCAAACAAAGCTAGTATTAAAATACCATAACACATCGCGTTGCCAATATCAGGATTGCTAACACATGGCCATCTCTGGAATAAGAGAAGAATAAACAAACCCAACTATAAGCAGGATGGATGGATACTATCCACGCCAGGGTGCATTGTCCTCGTTAACTTGTTTGTTTCACTGCAGGGCTCTGCTACACACACCGCATTCCACGGAATTAACCACACTGTTCAAAAGAAACCCGTAACCCCCGGTAGTTTATTAACATGTGATGTCACAACAAAGAGACTGACATTTTGAAAGTCCTGTCGTAATCTTGGCACTTTGCTCCATATGGTCACAGTTGGCTAACAAACCTCGAATTAATGGTATGCTGCTGGTTACACGACTTTTGGATGTTCTGTGTACTTCGGCTGTTCGTGGACCACACCTTTAGCGAGAGCATCTTGGACCTGTTCTAAAACTGACAGATTGAAGTAACTAACTGATACACTTAAACTCGCTCATGAAGTTAAAAGTAAAGAATAACCATACACGATACATTTCAAAATGTCATGAAATCAAACGAAATACATTTGACAACTAAAGAGCACGCAGGAATAGCCAACCCAATGTGCACATCTTAATCCCACACAATAGAGTGCAGACAAACCATTACAATTCAGAACAATAGCCAAATGGTGCAAGTGACTTAAGAGCATTGCTTTCAGTAATTTGCAGCTTTGGAAAATTTAAGTGATAATTTCAGACATGAAACGGCAGCTGCAAAGTGCCTATGCTTCGGTGTTTAATTACATGCGCCAGATTATGGGGCTCTCTTTATAACCGTTTGCTTTTGCTTTTTTTGTTAGGTGACGTACGCGTGAAATAAACTCGAGGGACCGGTGAGTTAAAAACAGGAATACTGTACGCCATCATCAGCTGCATTAGATCCAGAGAGGCACTCTACAGTGCTGCACTGCAGGCTCACTGCCGAAACAGAAGACACTCCGTAACAAGCGTGGTGTCCTTGGACTTTTTACCATAGTACGGGTTTATCCAAGATTATACTATATACAGGCTAAGTCTAAAACAACAGCATACGGAGAGAGTGCTTTCTTTTGTTCCAAAATTAGCCTTGAAGTATAGTTTGGGTTGCATATGCATGTGTGTGGAAATTCTTTCGCACCGTACTTAGCCAACCGTGCTAATGGGAGGTGCCATTGAACGTGCATGCATGCGCATTGGGATCCTGCGATGGACTGCGCCTAACAAATTTGAATAATTAATTTTTCTTGTGTGCCTGTAGTACATTCTCAAGCATAATACGGAATAATAATTAAATGCAGCACTTTCTTAGTCCATGCCACATTGGGCTTGTGGATTGTTGTACTCTGTACTCTTTGGTTCTATTCGGTAAAGTCACGTAGGTAAAAAAAATAAAACAACAAAAATCACGACGTTTCGGCCACAACACAAGCGGCCTTCATCAGGTGAAGGGACCAGCCTGTCTCGAAGACTGCGCTGGAGTGAAACACAGCCAAGCTCAGACTGCGACCTTTAAGCTGTCTTCGAGACAGGCTGGTCCCTTCACCTGATGAAGGCCGCTTGTGTTGTGGCAGAAACGTCGTGATGTTTGTTGTTTTTTTTTTTACCTACGTGACTTTACCGAATAGAACCAAAGAGTATGGATCCTTGCAGTCACGAAAGCTTCAAATCTAGAATTGTTGTACTCTGCTTCTCCACGCCGGTCAGCGCACGATGTCGGTTCAGCTTTCACTCCTTCCTGGCGCTAGCCGTGGCAGGGAATCGAACTCGGATTGCCTGGTCCACAGGGCAGCACGCTTAATCCCGATTCAGACGCGCTGTAGCGTATCGAGCACGGCGCGCTGCGATGTGGCAGATGGCTGGGACATAGATTATTCTAGCAGGAGGCTGACAATTGTGGAATGAGTTCCAATTATGAGTTTTCTTTCCTCACCAGGATTGCTAATTGGGAGCACTATGCTTGCCAGAGGAATGATGGTTCCTTAAAATGGACGCACTCGGACGCCACAATGCTGGGAAGCTGCTGTTTGCATGCTGGACTTGCAATCCAGAGGTCACCGACCCGTTTGTTCTTTCAATGCGAGAGTTGAAACGGTGGGCACGTTTCTGAAATCCTACCGCACCTACTGTATCCACCCAACGGTACGTATATATAGGTACAAGACTGCCGATCGGCAGGTCGAGTTTGGTGGGTGGGCAATTGTTTGTGGAAGAGTAGACCAAATCACCTCTCTAAGCCCAACCATAGATTGGACGCCCTTCTTCCAGCAGCGGTGTGAGCTAACAATTTCGGAGCTGCACCTTTGCATTGTACCTGTGCAAAACACTTTCTGCCACGAGAATGTGGAGTTTGCACCGTTGTCTTGGACAACAAAAACCTTTATTATGAATACATATGATATGGGGGGGGGGGGGTCTGGCCAACACTCATAAGCATAGGGACACCTTTTTTTTGGCACGTGATGAAAAATAATTCATTGCTCATGATTAAGGTTTATTCTTTTCAAACAGGTCAGGGTAAAATTTGAGCAGCCCTAACGCGAATTAACGCACAAGTAACCTTGTCGAAATGAAATCTGAATAGGCGGCAAGCCTTTGCATCGTGCGCACAGTAACGCGTTTGTGAATTAGTCTTCTGCAAATGCGTTGTAAGCTTATTTCGTAGCGGTTATGGAGCGGCGCGTAACGATAGCCATTGCAAATGTGGCACGCATTTCTAGCCTAACAAGTTACATCATTATGCCTTAAGAGGGCACTGTCCTCGCAGATGATGTGGTTGTATGTGTCTATTGGTACATATTTCTCCCTTCGAAATTTGTGCTGCAGCATACAAATTTAGTCTGAATTGCTTTAAAAAAAACATCTAATCGTGTTTCCAGTATATGCCAACATGTATTGAATGTGTTAATTATAGTACGTAAATAATTATAGTCGGTAAAATGATCTGAACGTCTTATTTTTTTGCATGCAATGCAAGTTGTAATTCAGATGCTCATGATTAAGGTTTATTTTTATTTTATTACTGGTGATGTTTTTTCAGATGACTACAGTTTTGAAATGTGAAATTGATTCATCAACACTTTTTGAAACGATTAAGAAAACTTGTAGCTCATTTGGAAATAATTGACATATATAACTGTACCTTTCAAAATTCTTGTTCACAATGACAATTACATAATCGGTAAAATTATCAAGAATGATGATGGATCATTGTCAAAAAAAATTCACCACTGCCTAAAAACGTTGCGTTTAGCTCTCACCTCACTCTATCCCGGTGATCGCATTTTTTAAAACGAACGTGCAAAGGTATGCACAGAGCTAGATCTTAGATAGATCTGCACTCACTCGCGGTTATGAAAATGTGCCTCAGATTATAATATCTTGAGCGATGAGCTAAGAATGATCTCATTTTATATCACACTTACAGTACTGTTTAACATAGAAATGGAGTATGCAGTATCTGCTTGGTTTATTTCTTAACATTCACATTGTTATCTTTTTTTATTACAATATTTTCTATGGTTTCACTTTAATCGTACCGTATTGTATTTCGGACACACACATATACTCTGCTCAATTCCTCCACTCAATCTAAACTGATTTTTCCATTGATCATGTTTATGCCATAAACAAATGTGGACACTCATTTTCCTGTGAAATACGAAGGGGAATTTCCAGCAAAACTGTAAGCAAATGCCTATGAATTAACCAGAGCTTCATAGCAATGCACCTGGGGAGGTGTTACAACTATTTAACTACCCAGTCAAAAACAAGACCTCTAAAAATCCAATGTGACACATTTACCAACATAGGTATCGCTCTAAACGTGAAACCCTTGTGAGCCATACAGCCTGGCAAAGCGTAGATGGCAATTGTGTTTTTTTTTTGATGTAATAAACAATGGCAGAAAAATCACAACAGTTTAAAAGTGTGGTACTTAATATTATCAGTATTTTTATTAAACGTCATTGAGACAGAACACTGCACATAGAGAGAGAGAGAGAAAGATATTGCTTGGAGGCAAGCAGTGCCATATTACGGTTTCACATATTACCTGGCAACTCAAGTTCGATTCCCAGCCATGGTTGACATCACTAGCGAGTGACGTCTGAACTGGTCCTGTGCCTCCCACCCTCACCAACCTGCACTAACCAGTACGGATAACGGCCAGGCTACCACCTATGACCAACACAGTGTGGGGAGACCTTCCATACTTATCATGTATTACTTTCATGATTTAAGGTGCATGCCTAAAATAAACAATGTTGGTCATTCACCCATCAAACAAGTCATCACTGATCTGCTTTAATGGTCTGAACATCGTTCTCTCAAATTTCTTAAGTCTTTCGAGCATTACCAGCTCCAAGATCGTGTGTCCCATGACAAAGCTGTAATTCCGAAATAAAAAAAAACCACGTAGAGATATGTTTTGATCCAACTGCAATGAAATTGGTGAGTTTGCCGGTGTGAATATTTTATGAGCACAACAATTGTGTGTGTGTTTTTTTATGAAGGTATATTTTATATAACACGTTATTGACCTTTAAATCATCCGGATTAACCAATCAGCATCTTACTCTAACGACATAAAATTTAATGCAACACCTACCTGACATGTTGCACTCATGCCGGTGGTGCCAAGAAGCCAGTTGGCAGACGGGTCACTCTGATGCCAATCTTGTCACGCGGGACTTGGAAGAAAGAGGTGGTGAAGTGGAACATCTGTTGAAGGGTAGGGTGGGTGGGTGGGTTAAGGCAACGCGGCGGTGAGAAATGGCACATTCTATTATTAATGGGCTGCACCTGTGCCATAGCATAATGGACAATGAAGTATGTACAGGTGTGAGGAATTAATTCTCGAGTGCAGCTTTTCAAAGGAGTTTTTTTTTTCTTTCTTCTGTCATACCGTTTGTCTGCTGTTTACACAAATTACGTTTGCAGGAGACGGAAGCCAGTGCTATTGTACAACTGTAGTAAAGTGATGGATATAACAAAAGAGCACAGCTAGTGTGTGGGACGTAGTTTAGAAGGGGGGTGCGCATTGCTTCAGTGTCTCTGGTTGACACAGCATGATACAACTTCACCATTATCCAGCATCCAACACCATAACAATCAACGTCGTAATTATCATCCATCAGTGTTGTTGTCGTCAGACCCAAACTTCACCATCAAGTGGCCGAAGTAAGATTTTAAAAAAAATATATTTGCGTGTCCTTAAACAAATTCTTGCGGGGAGTGGGGGGGTAAATGTACTTCATGATCGTTTCAAAGACTTTTCATACAGTGACGGCGATACCAACATTGTGTACGAGGAGCTAGAGGTGACAGCGTCGTTCATAGCAGAGAGAGAGAGTGGCGGGTCCACCCTACAGCCTGATGCACCTTCTATCGATTTCACCTTATTCCCACTGGTGCCCTTTATGGCTTAATGCATCCGCTCGATTCTTAACTTGCTCTGTCATATGAAAGACGTAAGAGAGCATATTCCATTGATGTACATACACTCGCAACACACCAGCAGGGATATGCATACATCAGAATCAGAATATGTATTCATGCTGGAGGAGTCTGGTAATCTATAAAGCTCTTTTTCATCGATGTCCAGTCGGGGGCCAGTTAGAACATTACAACAACAAATAAAGTATAAAAACGCGATAGGAGTGTATTTTTTAGGAAAAGTCAACGAATAATGAAAAAAAATTTTACTAATAAAACTACTCTATGTTTTATCTTAATAGGTAAAGCTCACTGAGCTATAAGCTTATTTTTTTTAGGAAGGGACCTGGTTACAAATGATCGTGGCTTTTTATCGCAACAACATAATCTAAATATTTTTAACGCAAGTTTCTCAATATAATACGCTGTAGGTAAATTAATACATTGTATAATAATAACAATAATGATGAGGGTTCAACTTCTGTGGAACACAACAGTGGGCAGTGTTATGGGAAGAAGAATTTCTTACAATACTGTAAGAAAAGCGGAAGACATGTAAATGCATTATCTTGAGTGGTTTATCATTATTATTATAATGCAGCTGAAAAAATGCAATGGGGTTTTCCATGTCCTGGGAAGACTTAGAGATTTCCCAGGACAGTAGTTACCTCAAAGACAGGACAATCCTGGGAAAACTAGAACAGGTGGCACCCCTAATAATAATAATAAACACTCCCATTTGTCAATCTACTGCCGGATGATAGCCCTCCGCACGGTGCGGGTTATGGATGTAGTTTGACCATACTTCACCATGTTCGTCAGTGTGGGCTGATGAAGCAAGTAGGTAAGGGTTCGTGGGTTTTCAAGAGGGTGGGGGGGTCCCCCAGTTTCCAGCATAGCGTGCTGGGACATTGTGCCACTGATCCCCGTGTTATACGTGTGCAACCAACCCTTCATATTATATACAGTTGGAACCATAGCTGGTAGCGAGTACCTAATCCAACCGATGTGTCTCTCGCAAGGGTTGTGTGAGCAGTAGCATGCCTGACCACTACTCTCTCCCAAGCGCTGATGGTCACGTACCAAACCTGAGTATTTTCTTGACACTGAATACATCCTCGAGATACAAATTGCGTGGTACATGCCTAGGGTTCATCCCAAAGTCACTGGAAGTGGTTGCGTATTGATCTGACTACTTTGGTAAAGTTATCCATATATATGTATATAAAATGTAGACATACCAACACAAAGATCCCCCCAGAACGCCTACACAAGCCATTTGGGCCAGTGTTGTTCGGGAGCGCATGTGATGAATTGCATGGCACATCAGGGGTGGTGTTGCCAGCACAATGCCTGCCTACCTTTCTTTGTTTCCCCAGTGCTGATGTTTATATGACCACACCAGGCACTCCGTTCAGGCTTTGTTAATCTAGGGGAGGCCTAGGGCTGGTACAGATTATAATCACCACCAATTTAGTCGTGGCCGGGGATTGAACTCGGGGAAAAAAAAGGGGGTTTTATGGAGCAGCGCACCAACCACTACGCTACCAATCTCCACACACTTACAAAGAGACAACAAAGACGTGACATGTAACAGGTAAACAATAAATAATGTCGCTTTCATCCAAGACAATGGTGCTGTTATGCAACCCAATGATAGGTAAATATAGTATATTGTGGATGGGCGAGATAAAAAAAATCGGTTTAAGGCTTACATATCACATCAAGGTGCACTCATAATAAACAATGTAATGTTACATTGTTTATTATTACTATTAGCATCATCTTTTGTTCAAGTCCAGACCATTGTATTCGGTCACCAGTGCTATGCGGGGGTGTCACGCCTCGTGCACGTGTTTATAGCTATAAATGCACACTCGACACAACAAATATAACACGCGTGCCACCTCCAAAGGATGAAACCTAATGCCGAGGACGGCACAATGCCACGTGCATATATTTGGCATGCACGCATAAGGCATGGCCATGGACACAATGCAGACTATGTGGCCAAGTTTAGCGTGCTTCATCACACTCACAAGTGGGCACGTGTCAAATGCCAACCGGTCACCTTAAATGTTACGCGACGCTTTACCGGGACTGTTTTGTCTTCAATCGACTTTAATGTGCTAACGCGACCAGGGGGGGTGGGGGAGGGTGGGGGAAGTTGCGTGTCTATAGAGATACTTGTAAAAATCGCATTTAAATTCGCCATTGGTGCTTTAAAAATATATCTATCACGCGCACAAAATAATAACAAGAATGCGCAGAACCATATAGCTGTGGCCACGTCTGCGGGCTCAACAAAATCGAAGGCACGTGATTTAATTTCTGCGATCTAATGGGACGCATGGCGCATATCAGCAATATATAGTACACGTGCGGAATTTGATTTGCTCTCGTAGCGCTCTGCTTTGCGCAGAGAAAGACGCATCTGTCACGGTGTGTGACTGGCAGCCTCACGTGCGTCGTGCCGTCCGCATTGTGTCGCCCAGATCGACATTCATTTTTTTCGAGAGGAAGATGGACCTCTCTTAAACATTTGCGGGCATCTCGCTGAAGCTCTAAATGAATCGTGAAATCTCGATAGGGCAACCGACAACTTCAGCGGTTGGGGGGGCGGAAACCTCGAAAGAGACGAGATGCCTCTCGCATTCTGGATGCTGTTGAAATCGCAGGCTCCTCTTGTCAACGTGACGATATATTTGAATTTAATGACGCGGTACCAAAACGGCGGCACGACGCGCACGACGCTAATGCGGCGGGGAAAAGAAAAAGAGTCATAAAAATACTGACGGTCCTGGGTTGCTCTGAGGACACGTGTGCATGTGAAGGCGCGGAGATGCCCCGGAAATGGGCAAATCTTTCATTGCGGCACTTACGTGTATTTAGGGTGTGCGTCATCTTATTCAAGCTAGATTAATGTGGTGATGGCTCGAGAAAAGTTTTACTATGCAATGTCAATTATATTACGCTGGCTGGGGAGGGGGGAGGGGGGGTTGGTGTAATTAATTATTACACTGGAACTAATTAATTGGAATTTGTCAGGGCTTTTGTGCTCAAATTGCAAAAAAAATTGTAAAGATCAGTAAAACTCTTTTAATTGTGAACATATTATTATTATTATAATCATGATTAAATGCACCTCAATACATAAAGCTTTTAATCTCAAAATAAGGCCAAAAATCTATTAATATGGCAATGGCCTAAAGTTTCAGGCAGAAGTGTGCTCACTGAAGCACAATTCTAATTTATATTTATTTTAAAGTCAAAATGGAACTGCGTACTTTTTGTGATAGTGCAAAAGGCTGGGAGTATGGTAATGCCGATCCAGCACTTCGGAGGCGAGATTCTGGTGGACAAAGTCGATTTATTCAACTCCACAGCACCACTGGGACGTAATGTGACCAAGGGATGGCAGCACAGCAAGTGGACTTGTGAGCCCATCTCCATTAACCTCGTAACGTTTTCTCCTCATACGCATGGGGGTCCCCCCCCCCCTTTGGATATTCCAGTTTAAAAAAACACTCCATGAAAATGTAACTGGCCAAATGTGCCATTACATAGCCGTCTTGAAAAATTAGTACTTTGCATTTCCAGTCTGGAGACTCAGTTAGGCTTTCATGGATAAGTAAAGGGTTCTAGATTTGAAGCTTTCGTGACTGCAAGGATCCATACTCTTTGGTTCTATTCGGTAAAGTCACGTAGGTAAAAATAAATAACAAAAATCACGACGTTTCGGCCACAACACAAGTGGCCTTCATCAGGTGAAGGGACTGGACTGTCCAGAGGACAGCGTTGGACTGAAGACAGCAAGCCCACACAGCTTAAAGGATGCGACCTGGGCTTGGCTGTCTTCACTCCAACACTGTCCTCTGGACAGTCCAGTCCCTTCACCTGATGAAGGCCACTTGTGTTGTGGCCGAAACGTCGTGATTTTTGTTATTTTATTTTTACCTACGTGACTTTACCGAATAGAACCAAAGAGTAAGTAAAGGGTTCTGTATATATACGTTTTATATACAGAAACAACAGCAATTCACTACTGTTAAATGCGACTTCATTGACAAACACTCAGTTTCTGTTTGAAGTGACAGTCCACATTTTTTTTGTGTGTGACAGTTTACTTTGGTTATTTAAGCTGACTCCTGTCCACTTCATTCCGTGTACAATTTGGTAAATCGTATCGTGTTAAATGTTAATACTGTAATAACATTACGCTGGCGCTGTATGCCTTTGCATCTCATTTTCAAAACCTCTTGACCTACCATGGCTGAAATGTTAGGCTACAAACTTCCACTGCGTTCGCTCACTCATTCTTCATCCCTTGTTATGCCCGCGGGGGCCGTCAGCTTAGAGTCATCGCATTGCCCACATGTGGCTACTTAAGGATATTTGTTTTGTTTTTTGGCCATCATTGTGGAACTTTCTCCACAAAGGATCGTGCCACAAATCGCATTCAATCCATCATCGTGTCTACGGCACACCATAGTTTTCAATTTGGAAGTAGATTATTCGCCACCACAAAAGCCAACGTTCAATGCGACCGCAAGCATTGGAATGTGTGGGACAAAAATGTGTAAAAAAAAAATGTGTTGTCGATACGTCGGAGACAATCTTGATTTGAAGCTTTCGTGACTGCAGGAATCCATACTCTTTGGTTATTTTGGTAAAGTCACGTAGGTATAAAAGTAAAACAAAATATAACATATCACGACGTTTCGGTCGGAACACAAGCGGTCGTCCTCAGGCAGATAAAATAATGCTGCAGTGAAAATAATCCAGCGGTGAGGACGACCGCTTGTGTTGCGATCGAAACGTCATGGTATATTTTTAGATTTAGATTTTTATACCTACGTGACTTTACCGAAAGAACCAAAGAGTACGTCAGAGATAGTTTGTAACGAGCACAAATTTCGTAAAACGGAAGAAAAAATAACGTCGGTCGTTTACGAACTCAGATGTGGAAGCTGCTACTACTACTACTCCTCCTCCTCCTCATCCTCTATATCACCCAGCCAATAACACTAACTTTCTCTGTGCTGCTATTTGTGGGGCCTTCTGTGGTTCTTTGTTCTTGCTGAATTCCTCAAAGAGTGAAACTGGGACGAATGTCACTATACATTGCGCCTTAATATCGACAATCCCGACAACAACAGAGCTCGTCAACATCCTTTTAATGGCAATTACAGTACTTGCTGTACCATAGAGAAAGGAGGTTGTGGCGTTGAGTAAAGCACGGTGCAATTTAGGACCTCCCGTTATAATTTCTTGAATAATGTAGCGACTCTGGCAACTTCATGGCAATTACTCTCTGCAGGACGTGCTCGGTAATACTCTCCCACACAGTCATTGCAAGTCATTCTTTGGTCCAAAGGCAGACCTGGCTGGCAATAGGGTGAATACTGAAAGATAGCAAGGGAAGAAGGGGCAGAACGGGTAAGGGAAAAAGAGCATAATTTCTATCCAGCGCTCTATTGACAAATCCCTACACTTTGGGTGCACTCTCGCTAATTGCAGCACATCTGTTGTGAATATCTTATCAGGTGCCAGGTGTGTTTCGTTGACATTCGAGAGACAAAGGGGAGATTGCACTTTGTCATTAGTGGTCAAGACATCACTTAATTTCTTCAGGATGGAGGGAGGGCAGCAATGGTCAATTGATGTTCAGGGATCTCACTGTACTTGAACATTTATCTCCCTTTGAGATTGTCCTGAGAGCGGGGCTTTAGGCAGTGAAGGGGCTTTGCCACTTGACAGTGCAGGTGACACTTATTTGAAACACTTTAACATTTCAAGCTGTCAATCATTCCTTATAGATTTTCAAACAAGAGCCTGTTAGTGTCTTTTAATGGGGGGGGGGGGGGGGGGGAATGAACACAATTTGGAGTAATTGTTCAGAACATCTGAATCGCAAGCACGTGACGAAAAGGAATGGTATGCTGACAAATACGGAGCAAACAGTCATTCATTGCGTTGCCATCATCGTCATCTGCAGCAGCCATAGTATATCCACTGCTGGATGAAGGCTTCCCTATTCAGTTGCAATCCCTCGCGGTCCTAGCGATGCGACACTCAATCTCACTCCTCCAATGCAACGGCACTCCCTGCTTCATCTCCGCACTGATTGTACCCTTGGGTGCGTTTTCTCTTTTGGCTGCCACTCCTTCAAGTTCAACGGGGTTTGATTCGCTCATGAGAGTCTGTGTATTTTAAAAAGAAACAGTCACATCCAGATGGCATCCTCTTTCTACACCCACGGTGCAGACACTCATTTCAGTTAATGTCCCTCAAATACACAAGTATTTTGAACCAACTGGAGTAAAACGGTCAGAGTGATTTCTTGCTAAAATAAGCATTGAGGTACGTCATCTCCTCTTTACACCCCGGAGCCATAGGTAGAAATTCCACATTATTATGACAGAGTTGATTCTATCCAGGAGGGAAACTGGTGACCTTCCACAGCGTGGTAATCATGTTATGACCCCAGAGGGATGATGAGTTGAGTCAACCCCCAGTCAGGATTTGAACTTGCAACCTACCAACCGCACGCTACTCGCTCTACAAGAGCCACCGGGGAAGATAGCAGTATACAATAAGGCAGTCCCAAACTTATGAATTAACTGCCATAACGTTTTATTATTTGTTAACATTCGACTTGCGAAAATTCGGTCGTACTTATGAACAAGACCACGGGACTATTTTGTTCGGGGCGGAGATCCTCTGCGGGATGGGCATCCCTCTTAATGCACAATGACCCGTTTGACTTAAGGTTAGTGAAAGTAAAACATATTTGTTTTATTTTTCTGTTGCTTTATTGTATGTTTTACTCACTAGATAGTATTATTACAGTATTATATACAAATGTACAATATTTCTTCGTTATGATTCTGACAATGCATCCATTTTTTTAACCATAACACATTCCATAACACTGACCTACGTACAATAACATATCGAGTTCCGAGATGCGAACAAGTCGACTTACGAATGGCTCTCAGGAATCTCTAACTCGTCCGTAAGTCGAGAACTGTATGTGCTTGTATCTCTATACTTTTTTTTACAACACTATAAGGTACATGATGCATACATATATAGCTATTTTATCGTAACTAATTTTGGTTCGTGAATGCAATTAGAGACAGCGATCGGGTTAATGTTGGTCTTCCATTTTAAGATTGCGACATGTAGGCTGAACACAAACCATTTTGGATTAATTTAGAATCGCATGTTGTCTGTTACAGCGCTGACTGCTTGAGGTTTCCCATACTAATCCATGTAAAATAGTGTAAGAACGTACATACAGACGTCCATATACTGTATAAATAATACATAATTTACAACTTCAGTCAATTCTGGATGAAGACCGCCCGATGCCATGTCGATCATTGGGAGTTGTACTTAATGGTGCTTAGTTGATGAAGGCATGAGATGGGTGCGCGGCGGACTAGTTTAAATACAATTAGCAACCCATGCTAGGCCGGCAATAAAACTGATGTCCCTGGTTTCATAGCACAATGAGCTAACCATTTTGCCACCCCTCCCTCCCCTTCCCCCCCCCGACAAAGTGGTCAATTCGTATGAGCGGCGAAACTTTGCACGCATCCGCCAACGCTGCGTTTTTATAATCTGTTTGGTAGATTTCTAACACAATGATAACAATCATTGCGCAATGATAACAATCATTGCGCAATGATGACAATCATTGCGCTGCGATGCGTCCTAGAGCTCTCAGCTAAAGGCCTCGACAACACTGGAAATAGATTCGAGCGTCGTCGTGACCGAACGCATAAATGATGATGATCATTATCCCTCAGTTGTGAATTAATTCCAACGGAACTTGGCTTGTACACACAAAAAAACAACTCGTTAAGTAATGCAGGATTCACTGCTTATTGCGACTTTATTCAGTTTTGGTCAAGTTTATCCCGAGTGGCCTTCGGTACGTGGCGGTCAGAGGAGCTCGCAGTCCCGAGTTGGAGTCACCCACTGGCACCACCACACTCCTGCAGTGCGCATGGCACAGCGGCGCGCAAGGACTGCAAGGGGACTTCATCCGCGTTTACTTGCGCGTAAATGCGTTACGTCAATTAATCAATGCAACCATCAATCAGGGAGGGAGGGGGGGGGGGTTGCCTTGCCAGGGCATAAATACCCAGAGCACTTGCTCCAAATCCGGAGACCATCCCGAGGGAGACTTCCCACTCCACCGCCACCACCACCTCCAAGGTCACGTTTTATTTGTTCAACTCGTGAAGAATGTGCACGCCGAGGAGGAATAAGGCGTCAGCGCTGCTTTGAAACCCTCCGTGGACATCGATGCGCTAGGGGTGGGGGGTGGGCAGTCGGCTCCTTCCGCGAGGACCGGAGTACGGATGGGCGAAGGGTTGAGTGCGGGTGGGGGAGGCGGGATTGTTGTGACGTCCTGCCAACTACAGAGAGATCTCAACGAAGGCTGGCTAGGGTGGGAAGGGGGGGGGGGGCAGGAGGTAGGGTGAGGAGGGATTGGGGGCCTGATTTGGTGGGGGGGAGGAGGAGGAGGGATTGGGGGCCTGATTTGGTGGGGGGGAGGAAAAGGGGGAGGGAGGGGTGCTACTGCCGTGCGTGCGCGCGCGAAGCCAAACGCAACCCCGGCTCGTTGTGCTGTAATGCGAGCCTCTTCCTCCTCCTCCTCATCCACCGCCACCACCGACCATCCGAGCCGCTCGCGCACCAGGAGCGCGCCATGCGCGCAAACAACCCAAGGCGCGATTCCCTTTGAAGAAGGGAATCTGTAAGGGCGCGTTGCGAGCGCAGCGGCGGAGGAGGAAGGGAGCGAGGGAGCGAGGGAGGAGTGAGTCCCGTGGGCTCGCCCGCTGTCCCGTGGCCGCTGCGCTCGGGGACAAAGCGTGGCGCAACCCGAGGGAGACCGAGAGCCTCAAAAGCACGGCGCCGAGAGTTGTTCTCGGTACTCGCGGGGGCCCCCCTCTCCAACTTGGGAGTTAAATACGCGAGAGGCGAGCGAGCAAGCGTTGCGTATGGACCCCGTCAGGATGTCCGCTCTCGTCCTGCTCGCCCTGGCTGCGCACGCTGCCGCCGCGATGGAGTTTACCGGTGAGTTGCGACGCATATTTGTGTTGTTGTTGTTAGTGTTTACGCATGTGCGTGTGCTTTGCGCTGAAGGGTAGGGATCGTGTGCGCACCACCGGCTGGAGTGCTCACGCACGCGTGCGCGCGTTTCTGCGGAGGCATATCGGATGAGCGAGTCAGTGTATAGTCCATATGTTTGTATGTGCGTGTATATATATGCACGTGCGTTGAATGATTAGGCAGTAAAGTTCAAACTTCCCCCCCCCCCCCACTCCTGGCGCGAGTTCCGGGGTGTGTAGGGAGACGGTAAAAGAGTGTGCCCCAAACGCTCTGCAGCTGAGTCTGGGCTCCTTCAGCTGTGCCCAACGGCCACGCACGGATGACGGGAGACGTTCCGAATGCGAGTTGTTTTTTTGTTGTTTTTGTTACCTTATTCCCGCGATGTGGTTCCCACGCTACGCTGGCTAATGTGTGCCATTTATACCGTTCATAAGCGCTCTTGTTGTTTGGTTGGGAGGCACGTGATTTATGGAGCGCGTAAACTTTCCCGGAGGAGAGGAGCCCTGGCAGAGGCAAACTTGCGCTGTTTGAACAGCGCTCCGGCTCAACGCGAAAGCATGTGTTTGCTTTTCAGTGGATCATTCGCAACCCGGTCCCCTTATCATTCACCACGGAAGTGGTTTGTTGCAAATTGTGATGCAAATGCGCAGCGAGTGGCTATCCGGAGTGATTCATTTATCCAGTCTTCGCTTTTTAAATGACAATGGTGTTTTGTATCGAGGCTCCCCGTGTCTTTTGTGGCCGTGCCGATTAACATATTTAAATGGTCGGGATTTGGGACTGCCGAGGGAGTAACGTACGTTCGGTATGGATGCTTTGGTCGAGGGCCAGAGACCACCAAAGAATGTCAACCCTCCGGTGGATTTAAGATTTGTGAGATTACTCATGCACCCGGACCACGAGCAGGCAACGTTGGAGAGAGGAGGGTGCTTGGCACCGCTAACCACAGAGCCTCGCGTCGTCTATTTATGAACAGCCTTTCTTTTGTTGCGCCCAAGATAACATCGGTTGGAAATCTTCTTTTATGAGCAACTGCGGGCGTCTAAATACAGAGCGGTTATTGTTGAGAGAAAAGGAAGGAGAGAAAGAGAGACACATACACTCTCGCACCCACGTGGGCAGAGACCCAAACTTGTGTCTTCCTCCACACCCCCGCCAATCCGTCCCTCCCTCCTTAAAAGTTCAGAAATTGTGCCAAATAATGAAAGAGTAAACAAACATTATGGTTGCAGAGAGCTTGCCGTGGTTACCATCCTGATGGGATTTAATTCAGACTAATTCGGATGCATTGGGTAACATTATTAGCCCGTTAATGCGGCCGTTTTGAAATGGATGCCGAAATGCTTGCAGTGCGCTTGCCTGCCAACAGCACAAAAGGGCTTGCGAGAGACACATTACGAATATTGGTGGACATCGAGTTGACGCAGCTATTATGTCTATTGCCATCAGGCGTTTAAAGTACTCTCACTCTCCCCTCTAAATGAAATTCCATCACATGCCAGATTATTTGTTGAAGGCGTGTGGCTACAGAGTGTTGCAAGCTCTATTTAAAACGTATTTTTTCCTTCGCTCTCTGAACTTTCTTGAATTGAATTTGTTTGAGAGTAATAGTAATTTAGCGTTGTAGATTTTTTTGTAACGCAAAGCCAAGAGTGTAGGGGTTTATTTTGCTCACATTTGCACGCGCACTTTTATAACCCGTTTTTGCAATATTCTACATGCCGTGCTCACTATGTCAAGCTTGTTCCTCGTCTAAAAAGTCACAACATTGTCTAAACCATCCCTCGCCAAGTGTATACGCGTCTTTATCCGTTTGTAATAGCTGTTGACATTACTGCGTATATTCTGCATGGAAGTACCCATCCATTAGTGTCTTCTGCTTAGGGGTGGCTCCCAAGGCTCTAGATGTTAAGGATTGCAGGAAAGGGGCTCTGATTGGGGTCTGGGTTATTGGTTAATAGCTTGCAAGCATTTGGGGCCATTGAGGTTCAGGGTTAGGTGTTACAATTTTAATGATAGTGATTACGTTATATGTTTGGATGTACTGTATACATTTATGTGGTCTGAGTTCATTAGGCTTGTGGAGTAATTTGTGGGACAGCTCACGAGTTTTTAATATAAAAATCGTTAATCATAGCAGGGTTCTATCTACGCTCTGGAGAATGTTTAGCATAAATTACTGAATCATTGCACCTTCTCACTGAAACTCGTACTGTCTTGCAAACTGTGTATGGCCAAAGGGTGACATGAGCGGGTAAACAAAGTGATACTGATCTCAGGCCTTTAAAGCTAATTATTGTTTGTTAAGCAGTGTCCATTACATTATATCTGGCATTGTACCTGTACAATAGGGATCTATTGACATTTGAAGCCATGATGACCTGAATACGTCAACGATCGCCAAGCAGTTAAATGGCTCCAGACCAAAATTTGATGCACATTCATTGACGAAGAACAAAACTGACGTTAAATAAAAACCCAAAGATACACGTAATCAAACCAATTATCTGTGTAGGCATGCGTCAACATTTGAGCACAATGTGGTGCCCTTTAATCCCTCGCTTGCTCACACGCTGCCGTGAGCAAGCGATGGTGGTGATGTCAACGCTCGTGGCGCATTGGCGATGCTGGCATTAGCCCACGTAAAGCCGCTTGCGTGATATAATGGTTTAAAAAGAAAGTGATTGTGTTGCCGTGGCGAAAAAAAAAAAGCTGCCGCGACACTGCGAGAGCGTGTTTATTGTGAACTTCCTGACCGAGTCAGAATCTTGATTTAGACCGGGAGGAATTTGATGAAAACACGAAGCTTTTTTTTCACGGATGTCCAGTAGTTTTCACAGATGTCCGGTAGTGATGTGCATCATGTAACAGGGTGGTCTCCACCGCACTCTTCAGATGACAAGTCGTGTTGTTGTTACCTTGATTTGTGCAGTCTGCAGCTGTCTAAAAAGTTTGCACTTGCTCCCATTTAGTGAGTTTATAAAGTTTGTTTTAGCCAGCTGGCCAGGATTGGGCACAGCTTAGCCCACCACGTTTCACGAAGTGTTTCTAACCTAACATTGAAACTATCGATAACATGTTTAAAAATCGCAGTCAAGATGAGACAAACAAAAGTAATATACTCTTAAAAGAAGATCTTCAAAAAAAAACCCCGTTAAACCTCATCAGTGTTCCTCACACTATCCTGAACACTGGTCCAGTGCATTACCATATTGTACCTACGTAACTTTACCGAAAGAACCAAAGAGTATGGATTCCTGCAGTCACGAAGAACTTCAAATCAAGATCAGACTTATTATTATATAACTGAACGCCGTGAGGAAAATGTTTGCAATTTTAAAGCAGTACTTGCACAACATCGATCTGCGCGAGAGTACGGAGGGTAAATAGTCTCGTCACAGCCGTTGCCATTGGTGCTATTGTTGAATTTAGCAGCTTTTGCATTTCTTAAGATGCATGCCGATGAGAAGACATTCAATTCTAAATTATTAAATAAATGTAACAAACGCCGCTCCTGTACTAGGAAGGATGAGGGTGGAGATGTGTGTGTGTGTGCTGTTAGCTTATAACCAGTGGCCTCAAGGTGCACGTGGCCTGGCACAAGCGTCGTGGTGACGTCACCGCCACTTAGTGGCGAATGGCGGTTGCTGTTGTTGTTGTGTTGTTAGCTAGCACCTATTAAGGCCGGCACTGCACACGAGGGGGTGGGTGGCCAACACCACGCCTGGCCGCCTTTGTCTTCCCAGTGGCGATGTTTACACATCACACCAAATACTCATTTGAGGCTGAGTCGACCTACGGGAGGCCCAGGACCGGTTCAGATAATCGTCACTGTGGTGTTGGCCGCTGAGCGGGAATCGAACCCGGGTGGCTAGGTTCGTAGCGCAGCGTGTTAAAACCGCTGCACTACCGCTCCCCAAAGGCTATAGGGGGATATTTGTGTGGTTTTTGGTTGATTTTGTTTTCAATCTATAATTAGACACCTATCCTAAACATGCAGACTCTGTGTTAGACATCCAATTGTTATTCCCCCGAGCAGATACTGCACTCCAAATGTACACAGCATTCGTATCAACAAACCACGTCCCATGTGGTTGCTCGTGAGCACTATTGAAAGGTACGTCTGTCATTCTAATTATAGAACGGCGTGGCTTTGTTCAAACTTCTGCCGTAATTTTCCTCATTAGTGTAAAATATTTAAACTGCGATGCATACCTAGTGGGAGATTCACCCTCGTGCAATGGGTGCGCCAACCCCCTGTTACATTGGCAGTATTAAAATGTAACTGTTGTTGCATACCCGGCCTAAAATAAATAAAAACCCTTGTGATAGCAAGGTGTACTGCTTTTCACTGGGCATATTCAGACCGGTTCATCTCGCAGTGGCAGTGCCCTTCAATTTAACCCCAGTCCCTTTGTGGGTGCCCAGCTTTCCTCTCCTCCTGCAGTCCTCTCTCTCCCCCCCCCACACACAAACTGCCCTAGTGCATTCATGTGTTGCATGCCTTCTCAGTATGCTGCTTATGTTCTTGGGAAATGGCCAGAGGCAGCGATCTTAATGGAATAACTATCAATTATTTTGTTTTAAATGCCAGCAATTTGAGGCAGTTGATTATGTTGTCTCTTTCAAAATATGATGTAATGGATACATTTACAACGTTCTGTAAAATTGATTTTCTTTGAAGGCTGCATTCATATTGCCACCGGCCACGATTTCAATGGACCTATTATAATGGGGCCATACAATAATGCAGAAGATCTAAATTATTTGTTAATTAAAATAGCCTTGCTTTCCATTCATTATTTATTCATTTCATCAATATTTGTTTTCATGTTCCTGAAATCAATAGCCACAGTCTCAATTAGTTATATTATTTTAGATGTGCAAGAACTTAACTTACGTCATGCCTGCTTGCAAAAACAAAATGCAGGATGAGCAATTACATCGTTGCACATTTACATCGT